CTGCCTGCCTCTGCCTCCCAAGTGCTGGGATTACAGGCGTGGGCCACCACCGCCCGGCTCACTTTCTCTTATAAAAAAAAATTGTTTAATTACATGTATTTATTTACTTTACCTTGTGTGTGGAGCGTGCCCAGATGGAGGTCAGAGGACAACTTGCAGGAGTTGGTTTTTCTCCTTTTACCTTGTGGGTCTGAGGGATCAAAGCCAGGACCCCAGACTTGGTGCTAAGTACCTTGAGCCATTACGTCATTCGTTCTCAACCTGTGGGTCATGACCCCCACAGGGGTCCGATATTGGGTATCCTACATATCAGATATTTACATTGTAATTCATAACACTAGCAAAATTACAGCTTATGAAGTAGCAACGACAATAATTGTATGGTTGGGGGGGGTCACAACATGAGGAACTGTATTAGAGGGTCGCAGCGTTAGGAAGGTTGAGAACCATTTCCAGTGAGCCATCTCACCAGCCCACCACTTTCTCCTTTTTATACAGTCCAAGACTCCTGCCTAGGGAATGGTGCCACCCACAGTGGGAGGCCTTCCCCACCTCAATGAACTCAACAGAGATAATCCCCACAGACATGCCCAGAGGCTAACCCACACTAGTTCATTCCTCACTGGCATGAAGAGGATTATCTCAGAAGTAATCCTAGGTTCCATCAATCATCACACTTGGCAAGTAAGAGGGCCTGGCATAGTTTTTCTCAAAAAAAATAAGGTGAAGGGGAGGTGCTCACAAGAACCGACCCTTAACAGAGAACTCACTGGGTTATTAGCCACAGCAGCCGCAGCAGATACGGAGTCTGGAGGAGATGGGGGAATCTGGAAGGAGGTGGCGGGGAGAAGTGAGAGGTGGATATGATCTAATACATCATGTTCGTGTCTGAAATGTACTGAAGGATATATGATGAAATGATTATGATGGGAGGCTAGAGAAATGACTCAGCAGTTAAGAGCACTTGTGGTTCTTGCGAAAGGCTTGGGTTTGGATCCCAGCACCCACATGGCTACACACAACTGTCTGTTACTCCAGGCTCAGGGATCTGAGGCTCTCTTCTGACTTCCTTGAGCGCTGCACACACATAGTGCACTTCCATATACACGCAAACTCATAAAATAAGAATAAATAAATAGTAAGGTAGAAAGCTATTAGGAAAGACACCTGTGATTGAACTGTGGCTTACACACACACACACACACACACACACACACACACACAGAGCGGGGGCAGGTGGTACCTGCACCACCCTGTCTTGAATCATCTGTTCTAGGGAAAGCCGCTGCCCTATCCTGGAGACTTTTCAGACAGCCTGGGGAGAGGACCACCCAGGGGGAACGAGGCAGGGTGCCAACAGCCAGTCCCGACCTGCTTGCCAGGTGAGCGATCTGCTCAACAGCCAGCATGAGTCAGGCTGGCAGGTGACTTCAGCCCTCTAGCCTCGGGACTTCCAGCTGAGGCCCCAGACACCAGGGGAGCCCAGCCAAGTCAGTCCCATCATGCCCCGCGCTCTCGGCCCACAGAGCCGTGAGACGGTAAATGAGAGCTGTCATTTTAAAACACTAAGCTTCGAAGTAATTTGTACTGCAGGAAAGATAGCCGACACAATGAGAGCAGATGTACACTCGGCACCGAGGGTACACAGAGAATAGGTACTTAGCTTAATTTGGAGGGTCTGGCAGGCTTTCTGCAGTGTGTGTGTGTGTGTGTGTGTGTGTGTGTATTGCTAAGGAATTCTGTATGCTAGGCAATGAATCTACTGCTTAGCCACATCCATGCCTCCAGCTCCCTCACTGGGGGATTCTAGAGTCTCGGCGGTGAGGGTTGGGGGGAGCATGTAGCTCAGCAATACAGAACCTGCTTAGAACCCACCAGCAAGGGGCTGGGGTTGTGGCTCAGTGGTTGAACCTTCTAGAATCCCCCAGTGAGGGGCTAGAACTGCAGCTCAGTGGTCACACTCTTGCCTAGAATCCCCCTAGTGAGGGGGTGTGAGCACAGCTCCTGTGGGCATGCACAGAACCATGACTTCCATCCCCAGCCTGGGAGGGTGTGAGGAACAGAGTCTCCCACCAAGTAGGAGCTCAAGATGTGATAGTGACCTTCGGGAGGGGTCAAATGAGGCTGACTCCAGCCCAGAGAGCATAACACAGCTAAGGCTGGGTGGGGGGAGGGGGCAGTAACTAGGTGAGACCTTCAACTGTCCTCTCCCTACATACGCTCACCTTCTTCTTCAAGTCTAGGAGCCAGGATGCCCACACCTTCTTCCTCCACGCCCTGTGTGTGATTGATGGCGTCCTCTCTGGAAGAAGTACCTAGCGCAAGGTTAGTGATGTATAAATAGGGACCCGAAGGTCAAATCGGCTTTTGGTGTGAGACACAGGAACCAAAACAACACAGATAAAAGTGACCTTGGGGAAGCAGGAGCAAAAAAAACAGAAGAAAGGCTTTAAAAGATTAACATTGTTGCTTGCTGGGTTAGATAAGAATAGATGCTTCCTCCCTGAAGCCCGGGCCAAGGGCAGCGGAAAGAAGCATCAGAGACCAGAAGGGCTCTTGAAAACCAGGAGTGTCGCTTTAAAAAGGAGAGTCCGGGCTGGGCGACGGCTCAGTGGGAAGGGGTGCCTGTGGCACAAGTGTGAGGACCTGAGTTCGAATCCCCAGTACCCACGTCAAAAAGCCAGGTGAGTGTCTGAGTGAACCTGTGACGTCATCATTGTGAGGGGCAGACACAGGAGGATGGCTGGGACTTGCTGGCTGCCAGCCGAGCTGTAGGTTCTGTGAGAGACCCTGGCTCATGGGAATAAGGCAGAAACTGAGAGAGCAGCACACCGGATATCCTCCTCTGGACATCACACACACACACACACACACACACACACACACACACACACACACATTCTCACACACACCGGAACATATGCACATATGCATGTACACACAAACGCATGCATGCATGCACACATATATGCTCAGTAGTATATTATCGTTCAGTCATAAAGAAGAATGCAATCGTGTTGTTCACGAGAAATTAGATACAACTGGGCATCACCATGTTAATTAGAAAAGAATTGTTGGTCTGGCAGGAAGGTAATTGTGACTCAAGCACAGAGACCTGAGTTTGAGTCCCAGAACTCACATAAAGGTAGAAAAAGAAACTGTCCGCACGGTTTTCTTCTGACCTCCACACAGGGGTGATGGCCTGCATGTGTGTACATGCACACACACACACACAAATGAACACACACATTAATAATAAATTTTAATTGTTTTTGTTAAAGAAAGACAAATATTGCATGTTTTGTTTTCTATGTAGAATCTAGATTTTTTTTTTTAAGCCACAAAGTTGAATTTGGTAACATCCACTTTAGTCCCAACACTCAGGAGGTTGAAACATGAGGATCGCCACAAGTTCCAGGCCAGCCTGGTCTGCAGAGAGAGTTCCAGGCTAGCCAGAGCTACATAATGAGAGTCAATAAATAGAGGACTCAGCAGTTAAGCGCACTGGTTGCCCTTCCGGAAGTCCACATGGCAGATCACAGCCATTCGTAACTCCAGTTCTAGGGAATCCAAAGTCCTCTTCTGCCCACTGTCTACCTACATGGTATACAGACACACGTAAGAAAAACATACCCATACCTGTAACATCAAATATTAATTTAAGAAAGCCTATGTATCCCTCTAGTATTTCTTTACAACTAAAATTCAAGGCCATCAGCTAGATAGTGAGTTCAAGGCCAGCCTGAGTTACATGTGACCCCAAAACAACACAAGACATTTTTGAAGATGGTCAGTTTTGGACACTGACCACTCTGCGTGGGAAAAATATTGATTGGTGTTTGATTAGCAAAATCTTGGAACCGCAGCATTAATGTTCTGTCTCCTTTTGAGACAGGATCTCCTGTGGCTCAGGCTGATCCGTAATTTGCTATGTTGCTATACAGCTGAAGACTACCTTGAGCTCCCCAACCCCCCAGACAGAGTTCTCTCTGTGCAGCCCTGGCTGTCCTGGAACTCACTCTGTAAACCAGGCTGGCCTCGAACTCACAGAGATCCGCCTGCCTCTGCCTTACGGTGAACTTCTGATCCTTCTGCTCCAGGCATGCGCTCCCATGTCTGGTTTTGTTGTTTGTTAGGAAAACAGAGCCTCCCTATGTAGCCCTGACTGGCCGAGAATCCAGTTACGTAGACCAGGCTGGCCTGGATCTCACAGAGCTCTGCCTGCCTCTGCCTCTTCTTAAGCACTGTGATCAAGTCGAAGGCCTCAGACACGCCAGACAAGGCCTCCACCACCATTCATATTCCCAGCCCTTGGGAGAGTTTTCTTGGAGGTTGTCCTTGAATTTTTGGTCATCTTCCTGCCTCAGCCTTTTGAATGTTCACCCATCATGCTTGGCTTTTCAGCTTGTTAATCCTGAAAAGGAAATTAGTAGTGGTAGAAGTTTATACACACATTATGAACAATTGAAATAACAACTCCCTGCTGGTGTGTTGATGCAGCCTGTAATTCCAGCACTCAGGAGGCTCAGCAGCTCAAGGTCCAACATTCTTAATACCAATACACTGTCTCAGCATTTTAATACTAATATGTTAATACTAAAACACTGCAGGTGGGAATAGAAGAATTAAATCCTGTTTTTCTGCTTTGTTTCACATTTTTATTGAGAGGGGAGGGGCAGAGAGAGAGAGAGAGGGAGACAGGCACAGAGATGTGCATGTGCATGTACGTGTAGAGGTCAGAAGACAACATCTGGAAGTCAGTTCTTGTGTTGCAACTGTGTGGATCCTGGGAATCAAACTCAGGTTGTTAGGATTGGCAATAAGTGCTTTTACCCACTGAACCATCTTGCTGGGCCCCTTTTCCTGTAATTGATTGATTGGTTTTTTTGAAACAGGGTTTCTTTGTGTAGCCTTGGTTGTCCTGGAACTTGCTCGGTATACCAGGCTGGTCTTGAACTCACAAAGATCCACCTGCTTCTGCCTCCTGAGTGCTGGGATTAAATGCATGCACCTCCAGGGACACTTGGCTCAGTCTGGGAGGAAGGGACTGGACCTGCCTGGACTGAGTCTACCAGGTTGATCACAGTCCTGGGGGGGGGACTTGTCCGGGAGGAGGTGGGAATGGAGGTTGGACTGGGGGTAAGGGGAGGGCGTGGGAGGGGGGAGAATAGGGGAACCCGTGGCTGATATGTAGAACTGAATGGTATTGTAAAATAAAATAAATAAAATTTAAAAAAAAAAAAAAGGCATGCACCTCCACCAACCAGCTCACTTCCTATTTTTAAAAACTCACTGATTGGGGTTGGGGATTTAGCTCAGTGGTAGAGCGCTTGCCTAATCAAGCTAAGGCCCTGGGTTCAGTCCTCAGCTCCGGTAAAAAACAAACAAACAAACAAACAAACAAAAAAACAAAAAAACCTCACTGATTATATATGACACTGAGTTATCAAGAAACAGATGCACAAGCATGGCACTTAGGAACAGGGAGGAACCCGGTCGGAAACACAGCTGAAGGACTTGGCAAACTGTTGACTCGGAGAAGCGGGTCAGAAGTGTAAAAAGAGGTGGAGCGATCCAGGGTGAACCTTCCAGCACACTCTGGTTTTCAAACCTATGCCTACATCCAAACTGACAAATATACCAACTAATTCATTAACTGGAAGACCAGGCAAGAAGGTGTGATTCGGTGGAAAGGGGAGCTAGGTGGAGTCCTGGGACATTCTGTTCTTCTGCATTTTAAATTAAGGGCAGAGCTGATCAAGCTACTTAATGTGCACAGTGAAGAGTAGAAAAGACTCGGGATTTATGTGTGACAGTTACACAGGCAAGATGTGGAAGGGCGGGTGAGGTTGGAAGACAGTGTGACAGAGAGACAAAGAATATCAAGAAAGAGCGGCGGCGATGGCGGCGGCGGTGGCGGTGGCGGCGGCGGCGGTGGCGGGGGTGGGGGTGGGGGGTGGCGGCAAACCCAATCTAGATTCCATTTATTTGTTTATTTGAGTCAGGGTTTCTCTGTGTAACAGGAGCTCTAGTTGTCCTGGAACTCACTCTGTAGACCAAGCTGGCCTTGAACTCACAGAGATCTGCCTGCCTCTGCTTCCCCAGGGCTGGGATAACAGGTGTGAGCCACCACCGCCCGGATTTTTTTTTTTAATGTTGATGGACTAATTGATTGTATGTGGTGCACACTCGCCATGGCCCTCATCGTCCTGCTCAGGTCACAGGACAACTTGCTGGAGTTGGTTGTCTTTCCACCATGTGGGTCCCGGGGATTGAACTCGGGTGGTCAGGCTTGGTAGTAATCGCCTTTACTTGCTGAGCAGTCTCAAAGGCCCATAACTCAGATTCTTAAACGGAAAGTGCAGAATATTGAGAGAGAAAGAAGAGCCCAGGTACACGCAACCCAGGCTTCACAGGTAACTTCCCAAACTTGCGTTGAAAAGCACAGAGGGAGCTTGTAACCGCTAACCTCCAAAGTAATACTCTGGTGAGCAGGGTGTGGTGGCGCTCACAGTCATCCCAGAGCTTGGAGGGAGGAGACAAGAGCATCAAGAGTTCAAAATTAGCCTGGGCTACATAGTGACACTACTTTAAAAGAAGAAAATAGATCCTGGGTGTCGTGGTATGTGCCTTTGATGCCAACACCTAGGAGGCAGAGGCAGCCCTGATCTATATACATAGCAAGTTCCCGGCCTCATAAAACAAAGAACAAAAGAAGAAACAGAAAAATAAAGTCTTTTATTACCATTCATTTGGCAGTGTGTGTGTGTGTGTGTGTGTGTGTGTGTGTGTGTGTGTGTGTGTGTGTTATATGCACATGTGTGTAACGATGCACATATATGCAGAGGTGCAGGATGTCCTCTATCACTCCACCAGGTTATTCTCTTGAAACAGGGTCTCTCCCTGAAGCTGGAGCTCAGCTGGCAGCCAGCAAGTCCCAGCAATCCTCCTGTCTTCTACTAGAGCTGGGGTTACAGGTGTGTGGTCATGCCTACAGTTTATGTGGGAACTTGACCTCAGGTCCCCAAGATTGTACAAGGAAGGACTCTTAATCACTGAGCCATCATCTCAGGCCACCAATGGTCTTTTCAACATCATTGTGGCCTCACGATATTCTTTTTTTTTTTTTTTTCTTTTGGTTTTTCGAGACAGAATTTCTCTGTGTAGCTTTGCACCTGTCCTGGATCTTGCTCAGTAGACCAGGATGGCCTCGAACTCACAGAGATTCGCCTGCCTCTGCCTCCCGAGTGCTGGGATTAAAGATGTCACCACCCGGCACGATATTCTTATATAGCTGTATTAAGCTGTTGTCATTTTTCTCTTGAGCTGTTAATTTTCCATTTAAACAAGGTATGAGTATATGGGAAATAGGACCCTTGACTACCCACTGAAGAACCTTTTTTTCTTTTCTGGCGCACTCCGGTGATAGAATTCAAACCTTGAGCATGATAGACAAGCACTTTACACCCCTGAGCCACACCCCAGCCCCTCACTGGGGGATTCTAGGCAGGGGCTCTACCACTGAGCCACACCCCAGCCCCTCACTGGGGGATTCTAGGCAGGTACTTTACCACTGAGCCACAAACTCAGCCCTTCTGCCAACTGAGCTACATCTAAAAAAAAAAAAAAAAGTCAGTTGTTTATGGTTGAACCTGATGTCACCAGCATCTTTGGTGCTGTGTCGGTTGGAGACAGTGTCTATTACATCACAAGGTACAATCCTGATGCACAGAAAGTGGATTTGGCCAGGCAGTGGTGGTGCATGCTTTTAATCCCAGCACTCGGGAAGCAGAGGCAGGAGGATCTCTGTGAGTTCGAGGCCAGCCTGGGCTACAGAGTGAGTTCCAGGAAAGGCGCAAAGCTACACAGAGAAACCCTGTCTCAGAAACCCCTGCCCCCCCCCCCAAAAAAAAGAAAGTGGATTTGGTCTTAAACTCCTTGGGCAGACCTTGTGAATTAAAGACAACACCCCAGGGTGTCAGGGAATCAGAAAGAGCCTGGCTGCTGCTGTACTGGAGCCACACATATGCTCTGGACTGCAAATGTCTAGATAGTTATACAAGGAAGAAATAACCCCCTCTTTGGGTTAAATCGCTGTCATTTGGGTCTGTTTTGAAGCGATTAATCTGATATCTTAATTAATCAAGTATGTGGGTGAGGCAGAAAGGAGACAGACATTTCTATGTAGAGACTGCAGCTGTGGGATGCGGATCCTGATGGTGCTGGCTGAGCAGGCCATGGCAGGTGGCTGAGGTCCTTAATGAGTTCAAGAGCAGATGCGCTGATTTGGGTAGGCCTAGGGCAGACTGTTCTTCTGCAGTCTATGTAGGCGGGTGAAGCTGGAAATGCTGGTTTCGGACTCACACATAGGTATGTATACATGATTATATATATATATATATATATGTACTCACACACACACACATATAATCGGGGATGGGGAAATGTGGTCATTTTAGGAATTCACGGAGACATAGAAAAAAAAAGATTCTGTCAACAAAGTGTCTTTTGTAGAGGTGTCTCTGTGGGTGAGGATGCTTGCTGCCAAGCCTGGTGAACAGAGTTCTAGCTCTGGGATACACTAGAAGAAATAAAAATGTAAGAAAAAAGGAGGGAGGGAGGAAGGGAGGGAGGGAGGGAGGGAGGGGGGTGAGGGAGGGAAGGGGAGGGGGTCTGTGTATGTTCTTATGGGCACACAAAAAGCACAGGGCCCTG